CCAGCAAACCAAAGTACTTCACCATGTACTTATAGAATAATTCTGCAGCAACATTTGCAGGGCATGCATGAGGTGCAAAAATGAACACCGCATACTTGGAGAAACGATAGACCACCACCATGATCGAACGCATGCCATCAACCTTTGGTAAGTTGCATATAAAATCAATCGAGGTTAACTGTCATGGTCTGTCAAGGATGAGTAGTGGTTGAAGCAAGCTTGCAGCCTTCTTCTTTTCAACCTTGTCAAGTTGACACACAAGACAAGTCCTAACATAGACCTAAACATCATCTTCCATCTTGGGCTAGTAATAAAAGCGAGCTAGCAATGCAAGCATCCTATCTACACCGGGATGTCCAGCCCACTAGGAGTCGTGTTTCTCATGTAACAACTCTGGCCTTAGTTCCCCTCCCGTAGGAACATAGAGTCTGTCACCCTTGGCATAGAGTAGGTCGTCATCCAACCAATATCTGCGCACCAGACCTTTGCCAACTTACTGCTTCAGTTTTCCATAAGCAACATCAATCTGGGTATGCTCTTTGACTCTTGCAAGGAAGTTAAAGTCAGTCCACTGGACAGTGCAATGACATAGTCATGGACCTCCTTCCTAGTCAACGCATCAGCAACCAAATTTTGCCTCCCAAGTCTATGCACCCACACAAAATCGAACTCAGCAATGAATTCTTACCACTGGGCTTGTTTTGGGGTCAATTTCTTCTAAGATTTGAAATAGGTGTTCGCCACGTTGTCCATCACGACGGTGAACTTTGTTCCCAACAAGTAATGCCTCCAAATTTCAAGACAATGAACCACATGAGTCATTTCCTTCTTGTGTGTTAAGTATCGCTGCTCAACATCTTTTAGTTTCTAGCTTTCAAAGGCAACAGGGTGTCCCTCCTGAACAAGGACTCCTTCAATAAAATAATCAGATGCATCTGTGTGCACTTCGAATGACAGATTGAAGTCAACCAGCCTTAGCACCAGTGCAAAAGATATTGCATGCTTCAACTTCGCAAAAGCTGTCTGGTAGACACCATTCTAGTCTTATTTCTGGTCCTTCTTTAGCAAGTCAGTTAGAACATTACACTTCTTTGAATATCTTTCAATGAACTTGCGATAATAATTGGCGAGGCCAAGGAACAACTGCAATTTAGGCACCTTGGTTGGTGCAGGCCGATCGACAATTGACTTCACCTTCTTCTCATTCATTCGGATCTGACCTTTGCTAATCCAATGTCCCAAGAAAATCACTTCTTGGTGACAAAATTTACATTTTTCATTTTCTGACATACAACTGGTGCTCTCTAAGTCGTGAGAACATCGCCCTCAAATAGTCTAAATTATCCTCCAATGTCTCACTGTAGACCACAATATCATTCAAATATACAACCACAAAGACATCAATATACTCATGAAAGACATCATTCATTAGATTGCATAAAATTTTCGGGGCATTTGTAATCCCAAATGGCATTACAAGAAATTCAAAAAACCCATAATGCGTCACACACGCGGTCTTAGACTGATCTCCTTCTACAATCCTAACTTGCCAATAACCAGTCCTTAGGTCCAGCTTCGTATAGAAGGTTGCCTTGCAAAACATATCAAAAAAATCAACAATGCTTGGAATAGGGTACTTGTTCATGATCGTCACCTTGTTCAAGACCTGATAGTCGATGCATATTTGTAATGAATCATCTTATTTATTTTGGAACAGAATCGGGGTTCCATATAGCATCTTAGATGGTTTCATCCTGCCAGAATCTAGTAACTCATTCAACTGCCTCCTCAATTCTGTCAATTCCATAGGCGACATTCGATTAGGGGCACGAGTTGGAGGCTTTGCACTAGGCTCCAACTCGATCTAGGCGAAAGGATTTTTAGGAGTTCTGGGGGCATAACATCATAAAATTCCCCCAAAACATTTGTCACTGCATTAGGCAATTTAACTAGCACATCTGGTTTGATCTCTACCAAAATTGCGACGTATGTCGTCTCACCCTTCCGCAGTCCAGCTGTCACTTGCATAGCGGACAACATCTTCATCTTTCGCTTGCCTTTTTTCTTACTTTGGTCTGTCATTACTGCAAGCACAAAGCATGGTGCTTTCTTACCAGAGATCAACACCCCATTCAAATGTGGCATCAATGCCACCTTTGCCTTGATAAAGAACTCATTCCCGATGATGAAATCAAAGTCGTTCAAGGGCACAACCATCAAGCTCACATGACATTCCCACAAATCCACCTTCAGGAGTATTTTTGTCATGCCATGCACTAGCATTGCTTTAGAATTGACTGCCTCGAGCTTGCTAGCATTCTCTGTCAATTTTAGGTCAAACTTTCCTACTTCCTTATAGGCAATAAAGTTATGGGTGGCTCCCGTATCCACCATGGCCAAGACTTCTTTGTCATTCACCCAAGCCTGTACAACATAAGGCCTTTGCGGGGTTATTGAACTTTGCCCACAGTGATTGCATTTTGCAACTGCTGAGGATTAACCCGGGTGGGGCATGCATAATCACAGTCATCTCCATTTGCAACAACGAGGGCACAAACTTCTCCCGCTTGGGACAGTCCTTGACGTGATGGGGCCCATTGTAGAGAAATCAGCCAGAATCAAAGTTTTTCTTCTTTTGGCAGTTATCTGGCTTTTTAAAATCAACAATGTTCTTCTTTTTCTTCCAATCTGCCTTCCTTACGTCTTTGGAAGTGCCGGCTTTAGCCTTCCTGCTGGCACCATATTTTTTTTTATCTTTTCAAAAGGTCTTTGATTGCTGCCCATTTTGATGTCAACCAGGTCATTCACAGCAGCGATGGCAGTAGGCAAATCATGTAACTCCTACCTACGTAATTCTGCCTGTGCTCAACCCTATCACCTGGACATGAAATTGAAGAGTTTGTCCTCCTCATACATTTTTTTGATGTCTAGCATCAATAAACTGAACTCCTTCACGTAATCATGAACATTTCCAGTGTTTTTAATTTCTTGAGTGAATCCCCAACAATCCAGGTCGTGTCTCTAGGGAGGAATTGATCCTTCAATTCTTTTTCTTATTGTATCCCATGTCTTAATTTTTGCACATCCCACAGATGCATCATCCTCGTTCTAGGTTCGCCACCACAGCTTGGCATCACCAGAAAGTTACATGCTGGTTATGGTCACTTTCTCTCCAATAGGCTCATGGACAGCTTTGAAGTACTGCTCCATATCCCTGAAAAAATTCTCCAGATCCTTGGCACTCTAGGTACCTCTGAAGGCCTTAGGTTTAGGGACCTTAATTTTTGAAGATGTCTTGCCCATAGCAAGTCAAGAATTCATGGCCCTCTTCACCAGGGACAATTCGTCTTCAAGATCCTTCAGGTTGGTTTTGACAGCTTCAGTGAGGGACAAAATGTCCTTCATCATCGTTGCAAGCTTTGCATCATTGTTGACAACATAACTTTCAAAGGTCATCCTTTAGCCAACAATCTGAAGAACGTGTTGCTCTATTTGCACAGCAAAGCTGATTGCAGCATCAATTTCAGGGGCACCCAGAAAATCCTCAAGACGGGTCACACATTCCCATAATTTAGTAGCGTTTCCACCAGCCATGATTGAAAACTGTAACTATGATACCAACTGTCACAGAGTCAATTTTTCACTCGAATTTTGCCTCATAATGGCACTGAGATCTGACACTCAGTCTCATCCAATGCACTCATATGCTCACAGAAATGCACACACGGGCAGAAAGTAGGCAAGCATGCAACTTATAGTGGCACACAAGCTTTACAGGCCAATTGACCAAACCTTTTTCTTTCTTAGCAAAGCCTAAAGGAAACTCAGCCAGAGGTTTGCTTACAAAATGTGTCCAACTCTCTTGGTTGCAATGTAGACCTAGGCATGCCTATATATAACATACAAAGTGGCGGTTACAAGCCCAACTGCCTAAGCAATGCAAAACAACATCAGATTCACCCACAAAGCTGGCTGACCATGGCTGAGACCTTCAACCTTTCTCCCCAATGTGCTGGTCATGGCAAAGGCAGTTGTAACTGTTGGCTGACCTAGCCACAATTGCCCATAACTTCTCTACATGTTGTGTGCACATCCCTGGATGTTGTGCACATACTAGCAACTACATAGAACTGCCTTGCATGTCATGCACATGCCAGCAACCGTCTAGAATCGTCAACATCTGTAGTGGATATACCTCAACGACCTCACATGTTGTGCAAATGCCTTTTCTTATGAGCCCACAACACCAGATTAACCTTACCTTCATGCGAAGCCATGCCAAGCTCATGGCTTAGTCTTTGAAGCTAGCAATGCCCCACAAATTGAGCCACCCGGCTAGCCTTGCTTTCTTGTGCCCAACGTGCCCATGCATGAACTACCTCCCTCAACCGTGCATTAGGCTTTAATTAACCCACTGGTCATGCCCAACGTGCCCATGCATATGTTGTCTTCCTCAGCCATGCATAAGGCTTCCGCTAACGACGGGTCCCTCCAATCATCGACCCCATATCTCAAGTTTTGGACTTTAGAATGCCTTGCCTCACCATGGAAATCATTTGTTGAGGTTATGCCTTACTTTGGTGTGCTAAGGCTTAGGGGCATAAGGGTCCCTAGGGAGACTAACCTAATACCGTCTTCGCTAAGCACCCCCCTATATTAACATTAGTGAGCAAAATAGAGTGACAACAATGGATATACTCTATACCGAGGGTCATAATAACTTGAGATAGGGACATAATCGCTGCATTCCACTTAAGCCTTTGCCAAACCACTTTGTTACTCAACCAAGTAAACGTCCAAGTCCTTAGGAAATCAACTTTGCACTAAGGGTTGACCTCACTAAGTATAACCCAATTTGGCTGAGGCATGGGTGCCTTTGGGCGAGGCATCCATATGCCAATGTTGAGCCAATGAGCTAAGAGGGTAACAACAACCTACAAGATGAATATAAGTAACAATGTTGTGTTCTAGCCATTCATCTTGGATTCTCATGAAACTATTCAGTGCCTTGTCGATTTTTCCTGAAGTCCCATAAGCATATATGGCAACATTGTAGGCAAAAGAAAGGCCCACCCCGCTAATCTTCCTATAATACCCAAGAGTTGCACCATGTTGCCCACATCAGCATATAGAGAGAGAAAGAAGTTGCAAGTTTTTGTAATAGAAATGACTCCCCTTTCCTCCATCTTACCAAGCAAAGCTTCTGCTTTTGACAAATAACCGCAACTTCCACAAGTGAATATCAAAGTGTTGAAAGTGATGGCATCTACAACAACTAATTTGGACATACTTGCAAACACATCTACATCTTCTTTCAAGCGACTTGCCTTTCCATACAAATCAATCAAAGTATTGTAAGTAGTTGTAAGTCGGGGCTTCCTAACAGAGTTCTTAGTATCCAACGAATCAAGAACTTTACCAAAAATACTCCCACCAATCCTAAAAAGGTCGATTGAAAGGAAATGCTTCAAACTAATGGGTTCCACACCTGACCTAGATTTAGAATCAGCTATAGAATCCAAATCAAGATCATCCAATTCAACCCTCCCAACACACCAATCCTTATAAAACCTATATGCCCTATCATATTCCCACACATCCTTCAAAACTCTAACGATTGTACTCATCATCACCTCATTAGGAAAAATTCCCCTGACCTTCATGTGCTTAATCCACAAAAACACTTTTTTTACAAGACTGACTTTTTCATACACATCAACAAGCATCCCATAAGTATTATTCGTTGGTAAAACACCAATTTTTGCCATTTCAATCCAACTAAGCCTCAACTCATCCCATCTTCGAGCTCTACCCAATGCCTGAAGCACAACATTATAGTGAACTACATTGGAAACATACTCTTTCTGTGACTTTATCCACTCAAAAATCCTAAGAACCTTTTCCCAACTAGTCTGCTTTTTGAAAATCACAGTTTGTTCTTTGGGATTAAGCTTCCCATTATACAAATCAAGGGTTTTCTCAATATCATTATCAGATTCCAAAGATTGTAAAATCGATGGCAAAACACCTCCATAGCTCTTCTTTTTACCATTAATTATGGTTTTGGTGGGCAAAACTAGTGTTCTTGAATGGCAATTAAGCTTAAACCCTAGAGAAACCGTTGTAGTTCCTTTGGCATTTGGCTTCTTGGTTAGTGAATTTACAATTTTTTTTAGGGTTTGGCAACTCTTGAAGGGTGATATGTGATATGACCACTCTTATGTCTCTCCTGAGCTGGGGTGAGTACATGAATTAAACCCAATAGGGGTGTTTGGATGGTCAGTAAGCATTGGATAGGATTTCAATTTTATATCCTACCCCATCCAATCCAAACCGACTCACCCACTTCCATTGGATGGGATATACGTTAGATCCAGTCCAATCTATAATTTGGGTAGCAACTTTGCAATTTTGTGGGACCCATGGACTAGGCCATTGTTGTTGCATATCGTTACCTTTCAACCCATAGAAATATTAAATCCAAACTCTGTTAGATTCCAAAATTGGCCTAAAAAATTAATTAATTCCCACATCAAACTTAATATAAAATACACAAAATAGTAGATTAATATCTTACCAACAACTTTATACATAAGTGTTTTACGTCACAAAACCCAAAATTAAATACATAAAAATCATACATCTGTCAATCAACAAAATAAAAAAATATTCTTAGACATATGGCCAACACATTAGTGCCCAAAGCTGTGAAGATGAGTTATTGATCACAATAACTTCCTTGATAGGGCAATTGGTAGAATCCAATGCTCTCTGATATGCACGTAGATATCATCCCATCACCATATGAATCAAAAATATATGTGAACTTGAAAAAATTGCCACACTATTTCTAGATGCAATGTTCCTTCTCAAACTTGTTCACCCACATCATATATGTTGACAATTCTTTAGTTGAGAAGTGTATCACAATGGTTTTGGCGACTTATTTATAAAAAGTTAAGCGCTAAAATGTTAAAATACAAACCTATTCATACACACATAAATTTGCTCAATAAAAAGGCAGAAAAGAGATGCTAATAAAACAAAATTTCTCCGTAATATGTATTGTTATTTACTAAGCACCTTAAAATGTTAATTGAATTAGCCTTTCTGTGTGAGTGTGGGTGTACAGAGAGATGAAGACAAAGCTATTTTAAGTGCTTGTGTTGTAACACCCCAAAATTCACCCTAGAAGACATTACTATCTACAAAATATCCAACCATGAGAGCAACTCAAAATAACCATTAGAACAACCAATCATTCATCCATCTAATAAAGAATAAATGTTAAAGCCAATAAAACATTAAAACCTCTCCAACTTACAATTCAAACCAGATAGTCTCTAGCAGCAGAATAATCAAAACTAGTTGAAACATTGTTGATTGAAATCTATCAAATAAAATAATCTAAACTACGATGAAGCATATCTAAGCATCCACTTCAGGATCCTCATACTGACCCTCTCCATTCTCGAGGTCGACCTGCCAAAATCTGTAAATGTGTTATAGGGGGTGAGCAAAGGCCCGTAGAAAATCTCTCTTAAATCCCAACAAGGTTTTTAAAACAATAAAAATAAGGCAAATCACTTTTGGAAAATAGCATATATATCGTTTTGAAAGTAAAACATTGACAGTTGTAATGATCTTAAGTGTACGGAATGCAATAAATCAATGAAAGGAATAAATATGTTTGAATTAAAGCAATCAATTAATAACTCAATAGCATCATCTCATATTCTCATATATGTTGGTTCATCCTCATTCTCATATATGTTGGTTCATCCTCATTCTCATGTATGTTGGTTACTTCTCAGGAATCTACACAGCGATTCTATCACGTTCACCCATCATAACCACACAATCTCAATCATTCCTCGTAGGGTCAAATCACAAACCACTTTAGGAAGGGCGTATATTGTCTTTCACGACATTGACATATCCCTTTCAAGAAAGGTATACCATCCCTCAGCCTTGAACTTTCGTGAACAATAGTGGTTGCTCTCACAAACAACATTCTACTACAAGTTTTAGGTAACTGTCTCACCCCCACTAGAATAGACTAACCTCTAACACTCTACAGTAATTCTCGAAGGCAATTCAAGTCCGTCACACCCAAACTATAAAAGAGATGAAATCACATTTTTCTCATCAACCATAATCTTAACCAATCAGAATTTCCATTAACAATTCAAGTATTACAATTTCGCAATTCTCAATATACTACAGTAATTAGGAATTAAAATATGCAAGAGATACTATGTTCCAATGATAAAGAAACCAAGAGCTCATATATATCTATCATATAATTATCAAGAAGATTGAAAACATACATAATTATACCCTAAGACTCAATGAAATAACACAAGAAGAATCCTCTACCTCGATTTCGTAGTTTTGTGTGAAAATCTAGCTTGTTTGATTCATTCCAACGTGAAAATCCCCCTTAATCTCGTGTTTCTCCTCTCTTTTTTCTTGCTCTCCAAGACTTTCTAGGGTTAGAACTGATGAAATAGAGCTAAGGAATACATCCTTGGGTATTTATAGTATGAGAAAACAGTCCAATCGGCAAAAATCTGATACTCAGAATCGCTACCTCAAGTTCGAACTAGAGACTTGACGTTCGAACTATCTACATAACGTTCGAACATCATTTTGGCGTTCAAACGTTACTTACTCCCAGTACTTTTGATTTTCCATTAGATTTCTGACAGACACAAAAGTATTGGGACTAATTGTCGTTCGAACGGACTCCCATTTTAGCTAAACTTTCAATGAAGTTTTGGTCTATTTAGAAGTTGATTTGAAAATTTTTTGTGAAATACTATTTTTGTAGACCTGGAAATCTAGTGTCTACTGTAAACATTTCAGATCAAATGAACATCAGGATAAAAAGTTATGGTCCAAATACTAAGGCAGTATCAAATTCATTCCTACCCGAATTCTATCTAAAATGTGTTTTAACTTTGGAATATTTTCTAACTTTTACTACACACCGTATTACCTCACTTAACATTTTTATTTCTACTCTTAAAATCTATATAGTTCATGCTTACATCATTACATATATAAGCATTTCAAAATAATTATGTTACTATATAAAGATAAGAATGTGGGGGTTTACATGTGTGGTCTTCTAACATTGTCCATCAACATATGATGAGAAATTAAAATTAAAATTTAAGAGCTAGCAAGAACATGAACAACATTACAGGAAGAAGGAACCCCCTAAAATAAACCCAGATCCAAGCAATGTGGTCATTCTTGCGAGGCAGCAATTGTTGAATAAAACGATAAATCTAAAGATAAAATATGGGGAAAAAATCCATATACATATAATAATTTGTTTGATCTATGTAGTTGAGTGGTTTTTCTAATGGATCTCTAATGAACCGAAAATGGAAAAAGTGAGAGAGAGAGAGAGAGAATGAAATTAGTCCCGGTGATGATTGAAGCTTGCCAACTTCATACCAAAGCCCTCTATGAAAATCCCCTTCCCCACACACACAATAATCCCTTCCCCAACAGTAGAATCTCTCTCCCCACCTCACTTAAATTCTGCATACCTCTTGGTAGAAAGAGAGATATGGGTTTGGTAGAGAAATAAAAATGCAATGGTTACGGGCTAGAGAAAGAGAGAGAAAACACCAACGACGAGAATGATGGGGAGAGAGAGAGAGAGAAGCGTACCTACTTTTTCTTCCACCGTGCACCATATTCAGAGGGAGAGAGAGAGGTGAGACCAGTGGGTTGGTTGAAGAAATGAATTAGCAGACAAAGGGTAAATAACCCTAATTAATTGCAGGGGTATTTTTCATAAAATACCAATCAATCCAGTGAGCAAAATTTGAATGCCACATGCTCCGTGGGTTACACATATCTGCTTGAGAAGGGATGTTGAACTCCGATCTCTACGAGCCAATGTATTCAAAGCCAACGATTATCCAATTTTATTTTTGGATCCAAAGTTGAGTTTTGTGGGCCGTTAGATTATTTTACCCAATCCAACTTGTCTTATCCCCCTTTATCCCTCAAACAAAACACCCCTAAGAACCCTAGATTTGAATGGCGAGTAGAGATTCAAAAGCTTACATGGTGAAGAAACAATGTGGTGTTGAATTGGGTTGTGGAGATTTTTGTAGCTTAGCTCTCTCGAATTGTAAGCTTGGAGCATCATTTCCTCTCTTATGTTTTCTGAATATGAACATAAAGACTCAACAATATTATATACACTAGGGGTAATCCGTGGCTGAAGGTACAGTGCAATGTGAATGATTTAGAGATGGATATTGTAGTCGTTTGATAAGTTTATTCAAGTTCGTCGAATGAATTTATCGAAACATACCATATTTTATATTATAGATACTTTCAAAACATAGCAACACAATAAAAGCATGTACGACTAGTAAACCTAAGTGCAAATTTTGAGAACTCTTTGTGTCAGGTCATGAGTGATTTATCCCTCATAAATTCTCTAGTTTGACGTAGATGGTCTATCTTTGACTAAACCGAAGAGAAAATTAATCAAGATGTGTATAAACTGACCTAAACACCCGTAATCGTAAAAAAAAAAAATCAATTGAGTTTGAAGTGATTTTTTAGTTTTGGCTCATGATATTTTGCACATATTAATTTTTTTTATTTATATGTTGAATGATTAAAATTTTTATATAAAAATATAAAACATAGAGCAAACAAATTGTCAAACAAAACAACACAACTTTGGGTTTAGACAACATTACTATAAAATTTTTTGTACATAAGTCAATTATAAGTATTTTACATGAAAATTCTACACAAATTTTTTAAAGGTCACAAAGTAAGGAGGACCATTTGACCAAAGACCCATTGGTACACGATTTTGTTAAGGTGGAATATGTTGATATATTTTTATCTAATTGAGAATATAATGTAAGAATTTTAATCTTTTACGAAAATGAATTAAGAATTTAAAGAACTTTCAGATGCAAAGTGTCATTCGACATTTTATTTTTATTTTTTTGGGGTCATTTTATGTTACTTTTTTTATCATCCGGGTTTGTTTGACTAAAAAGTTGTAAAAATGGTTACTTTTTTTAATTGATCATAAAATATTTATATTTACCCTTACAAAATATATAATACATATCCATGTCTAATATATACCATCTAATACATGATATACTCGGGTGAACGTGCAAACCACACTTTTTTGGGTGTAGTTAAAATATTTATTGTAATTCAAAGTTAAACGTAAATAAAAATAGTTATTGCAGGGAAAATGATAAAATATGAGTAATACAATAAGCTATTGCTCTTTTCCTCTGACTTAAATGCATTTCACTCTATTATTTATATAGTAAGATGCATATGGATTTTTGCTTTCTTGACAAAATTACCTTTTTGCTAAAATTTGTTGCTAGAGGAAAGAAATGACAAAGAAAAGATTAATTACCATATATAATCTCTAGAAAAAAAGACAGGATCAACCTGTAATTTTCAATACAACTGATTTTAAACAAATAGAATTTGAGACTACTCTGAATTTTCACCACATGAAGTAACTCACCAGTGTAATTGCAATCTGAGCAACAGAACTTTTTAAAGCATCACAAACTAAAGAATTCCAGACTTTCTTCTATTTCTATTGTCTGAATTGCAATATGTATTGAAAACATTCATTCAAGGAAAAGAAAGGTTATGTTCAAAAATAAAAAAATAAATAAAAAGGAAAAGAAAGGTTAAACAAACTTATGATGTTGCTTACATAATATATGCGAACAACATCCTCTAAGGGAAAAATGCCCTGATACGCTTGTTAGGGATCTACAGTTGATACATATTTACAAATTTATATTAAATGCGCTAAATTATGTAGTGCACGATGTGGGAAAAGAGACGAGTTTTAACTATGAGGGAGGCAGGGACTCGAAAGCAACAAGCAATGAGCTACGCGAAAGCCATGGTGAAAGGAGGGGCCGCAATTGGTAGAAAAAAATCTACAACCCCTTAGAGTTATCCTGCACTTGAAATAAGTAGAAAAAAGAATAAATATAATGATACTTTGATTCTTCGTCGCCGTAATAAATAAGCAATATAATTTTTTTCTTCGTCTTTATATTTACAAAACAAAATAAATAGTTAGTAAAAAATTAAACTACTTGGCCATATAAACTCGCGAGTATCATCTCCACTCCATCGAGGCCATGTCATAGTGCTGACATCATTGTCGATCTTGAAGCCTCACGCTTCAGGTCTGCAACTTTGCCACTGCCTTGGAAACACATGTATGCTTGTTGTATATAGTGCTACAAGGAGACCAAAACCAAATGACAATGAAATAATGTACTCCCCCCTCCCCCCAAAAAAAAAAAAACACACACACAAAAAAAAAAATATATATATATATATATATATAGAAGATCTGCAAATAAAATTGTAAATTACCGCAAAATGGTCACAATTTGATATACTGTGTTCTTGAAGATCATTTTTTCTTTTTTGCATATTTGAAGGGATGACATTTATAAAAACGTCTGCCAATAAGCTTCATGTGCTCAAAGATCATGAACTGAAATAAACAAACCCTCAACTCAAGAAAAGCAAATAAATAATCGCAATTACTACATTAAAAACTTACCCCAACAAAAGCATGATTACTCAAAACATCAATTGCCGGCAAGATTCCTCTGTTACAGATAAATACAAAAACCAAGCATCAGTAGCCCACTATAGAGGAAAAACAGTATTCAAATAGAAGTTGTCACTATATAGATTATGGCTTCGTCTTTCCTTCCAGTGAATTGGGAGGGCACATCCCTCCTAAGACAAATATGACAAAGAAAACTCACGTCAGTGATTTCCCCTTAAAAATATTTGGAGGAGCAACTGCAGCAAAGACGCAGAAGCAAATGTGAAACTGCATGGAGAAAATGGAGGAATAAATGAGGCCTTAAAAACACATCCAACATACAGAGATGATCTGTGTGGATTCATGGATGCATACCACGTAAGACAAGAAAAACCACCCAAACTTCAGGGCACTACAGTCCTGTCAAGAGTATAACCCACACAGTTATAAAGAGAACCATACAGTCGAGGATTTTGAAGGACAGTGGAGTTAGTAATGCATATTCAAAACATGACTCTTAAATTCCAGAATATGGGAACAAGAACTACCCTGAAAAGCACAAAAAGTAAGGTCACCATATCAATACATTAATCGATCCATCAAAATGCTGGAAACCATACCCAAGCATGCAGTGTCAAAACCAGTCATTTAACAGAGGCCTCAACAATGCGGGCGAACCATAAGATTAGGACCTTTGAAACCATAGATAATGGAACAAATTCAAATGTATAAAGTATAAATAGTACCTCACTGCACAATAAAGAGGATGATACCACAACACATATTCTCCTGGAACCCACGATATGAAGTAGATGATTGAAAGAAACCAGATTGTCAGTCCTACAACAAAAGAGAACTTGAAAAAAGTGATATATCACAAACCAATTGTGAGCCTGCATAAAGTATTCCAGGCCAACCTTCCCCTTTGATCCATGCTGTGGTAACTGCTATAATGTTCCACAGAAGGCAGACAAATAAACCTGCAAAATATCACAAAGTTTAAGAACTCAATCCACCAAGGTTCACATGAATTGCTTGTCCACCTTTTGAAAAAAAAAAAAAAAAAAGAATTGCTTGTCCATTAAAATTAATTACGCAGTCCTAAGTTTTTGAGCACCAAGGTAGATTAGGTAGTATTTCCACCAAAGACACCATGCTTTGTGAGGTAACATTCTAACTTGAGAATATACCATACCCTTCACTAATCACAAATTATGATATGCCAAAGCACCAATGTCATAAGTTTCCATTTAGATGTCGATCTCTAAATTTCATAACTAATACCAATATACTTTTTACTTTTAGAACTATGCGATATGTAACTTATGAAAGGGAGAGGGGGAGGGGTAGATAATTTGACAAAAAAACTAATCACCAAAGCTGTTATTCACCCCACCAAAAAAAAATCTGTTATCCGTGATTCTCTAGTAGAAATTGCTAAAATTTAAACAGTGGTTTGTAGTAGTTGTTGTTGTGTTACAGAGATAAATAGATAGATAGATAGACACATAGAGAGAGAAATGGAGAGAAGCTAATCTGATAGAAATCTTTTGACAGCTTTCATCCCAGATGACATATTAGTTGTGGTAAAAGTAGTTAACCATTATGGATAAGTACAACAAGAATGTCAGAATAGATATCTGAATTAGTGTTTCACATGCAATTTTACAATCAAAGCAGTTATAAAACGCATTGACTTCGAAAAACCAAGCAGTAGTCCGATTAATGAGCCAAATCTTAGTCAGACAAGGGGCATTTATGCCCTTAAAGTGCCTAGTACAGTACAAAAATGATTGAAAAAAGAACTAAAATGTGAAGCATATGAGGACAAAAGGGCAATTCAAAGATGATTCATAAACCATTTCGGATATCTTTCTATCCCATTAATGCTTCTTCCATATATGATTTCCTCCAAAATAGTATATTTTTATTTTGAGGGGGATGGGTGGTAAAGTTTTCTTCTGTTTTTTCATTCTCTTTTCTGTTTTTCTGCTTTGGTCAGGAAGGTTAAGAGTTTTGTACTAGTCGGAATGGGTGTAACTGCATGCTGCCTTTGGTATATAGTGAAAACTGGAAAGCATCGATTTTGAAGAAACCTTCTCACTGGTAGCTAGGCTTGAGTCAGTGAGACTACTCTTTGCCATAGCATGTCATTTAGAGTTCAAGCTCTATCAAATGTATGTTAAAAGTGGCTTCTTGAATGGTGTTCTTCAAGAAAAATTCTATGTGAAACAACCAAAGGGGTTTGAGGATCCACATCCCGCTAGACATGTCTATCGACTTAAGAAAACCTTGGATGGGCTGAAGCGAGCTTCTAGAGCTTGGTATGAGATGCTTTCAGCTTAGCTTTTAAGAGAAGATTCTCTAGAGGTGGAGCAGACAGATGACAAACTGATAAAAATTTAAAATATCTAATTTGCTTTCTCCAATGTGCTTTGCATATAAGAGAATTTGGATGAGTGCATGAAATTGTGAAGCAACTTGTATTAACAAGTATTTTCCTGGTTGCCTAATGGAAGTGCTGAGTTGTAGACGTAATATCATCTGAAACACGTTACTACTTACTGATGTGGCTCCAGAACCCCAGGCCCAGTAACTATAGTTACATAAATTTGTCATCGACTCATCGGAGGTACAAGAGTTCGAGCATATGTGTGATCCGAGACAAGTAACTTTTAAGGAATTTAAATAGAGGAACCTAAATCCTTAAGAGACAAATCTAAGGTAATATACCCAATAATGTTGAAAATGCAACATACTGCAACTGCTGTAGATGGATCGGAATTTCATTTGCAATGTCGTGATGAATGATAGGAAGAAACGGTGGCCAATTTTTCTCCTCAATAACAATTCCAGCTGCCAAACAAAAGGAAAAAAAATTAATTGCTCAATAAAAGACACCAGAAAATCAACCTACTTTTTTTTAATGTATAAAAACATAGAGAAAATAGAACTACCTTGTGCTGCAGCATCCTCCCTCCTTTTTATTTCATGTATTGAACAGTTAATATTATGTCTGTAGATGCAAGAAATTAAAAATGTAACATATAGCCACAGGCCGCACAGATGATGTCCAACACATATCAATGTCCAATACATAGTCAGGCCATCTGCAGCAAAGATAGTACCAAAAAATAACAAGAAAAACTATAAATCTCACATTAGTTTTAAAATAAATCATGGGAATGAAATATATAATGGAAAATATTAATATTCTATACTAAACGTTTTTTGCTTGGGATTACACAAGTCCACAAGTAGCTATATATTCTTCCCTGTCCAAATTTACATATAACTGCACTTCTAATAACACGTACATGCTCAACTAACACACATAATTGAGCAGCCAAATTGAATTGACATATAACACACGAAAAAAAATCAAATTGAAACACATCTTGCACTCAACTTACAATGACTAACCCATATTCAGAAGCCACCATAAAAGAGAACAATAAGCAAGTACCTGTTCTCTCCTCTTTAGTTCTGCCTCTTTAGCTTGGAGTTCCTTCTTCATTCTCAAATCCTATATTTAAAGAGAAGAATGGTAAGATGTTACCCTTATGCGTTCTGGAACACACAAATAGAAAAATTGCACTCATCAAACATCTTTAGAGCTTTGATCTACCTTGGAACTATCAAGAGGAATATCAACCGTTGCCCCACGATCATAATCAGCACGTTCAGGAGGAAGGGGTGAAAGCATAGAGTTTGGACGGGGAACACTTCCAGGATTCTGAAAATCCCGTAAAGAATGAAAATAAAATAAAAAAACAGGTAAGATAATAACATTATAGTCCGGGGAAAAAAAGTATAACTCCTACAAATAGAAATGCCTCAGAAGTCAAAACTGCATGAGAACTGTAACCGTCAAAGCAGGTGTTTTGCCCTTCACTTTTTTGGCACAAGGATCTATGTGTTGTATATAATAATTGTATTGATCAGAATGACTTTTACTTCCTGTTCCAGGATCCAGAACTCCATAGCCTAATTTTATATCTCATTTTGGAGATATAAAGCTTGAGCTGTTAGAGATCAGGCCCACTACAAATATCAAGCTCTAGTGCCCTAAATCCCAAAACTAAAGTTGTGATACCATGTAGACCACCACTTACACGTAGGGGATCACGCAGTGAGGTAATAGGTACAATAATGTATATTAATCTCATAAGTTTAAAGTTAAACCATGAATTGCTTCCCTGTGATTTGGTCAATGTACATATTACCTCCCTATGCTTTAGAATCCTACAAGCATCCTCTGTAGTGTTGGAACAAAGTGAAATTAGTGGTTTTTCCAACCTAAATAATGAACAGTGCATCACATTTGCCAAAAGGTCTGTTGATGTTGGGCAAAATATGTCCTCCAAAAGTTATTCTTAATGACCAAAATACATTGATTTCTACATATTGTTTCCTCCCTGTCCCTGCCCAGTAATCCCTCTTTCCCTCTCTACCAATTCAATCCTGCAACCACCATTGCCAAACTATTGGATTCGCCCAAATTAATTGATCATGTTGAGAAGCCAGGTCTTTTGTTCATATCAGTAGGACCGGTTTGATGCAATACTCTAAAGAGCCTATCACAAAGATGCCTATGGGGGCAGGACCTGATTTATAGAGAGCTTTATTCGGCATGCACAATCTACTCAAATATAGAGCTTGGAGAGATTGTGGCCAAGCGGCTATAATTGAGTCAGTCGGGGCATCATGGCCCTAGTGTGATGTTTTCAATGTGTACCCTTTAATAGCTTCACCAAGTTGAAGCTAGACATTGACTTAAACCAGCTGTCTCCACTGCTATGGCTTCGATAATAGGGTTCATCGACTGAAATTGCCATCACAAAGTCGATCACCAAAGCAACGAAACTCTTAGAGGGTAAGAACCGAGTGTACATCTAGATACCTGAGCCTCTCTCTCTCTCTCTCTCTCTCTCATCCTGTGTTTGTGCTAAACAATTAAAAAAAATCCCAAAAACATCTCCCCTAGTAGTTTGTAGCATATACATGTATAGGCATACAACAAACATTTCTCGAGAAAAAAATTACAGTCACCAAGAATGCAACATTACACTCTTACTCTATGCAACTTACATAAAATAAGTGTGCATGCTAGATGGAAACAGTTATACAGTTATATATGTCATAATTTATTAAGTTGTATTCAAAATAAAATATATTTATCTATAACAGTTATATACCATCAATATGTCAATTGTGAAAGGCTACAAGAACTTCAAGTTTTGAATTATTTTAATGCTTGAACCGTTGCCTCAAGAATGTGATAGCTATTGGTCCTTATTTTTCATAATATTAAATTAGAAGGCTTTTTCCCAAGCAAGGTGATAGTTGGACATATTCTCATTTGAATGTTTGAAATGGCAGCCATAGTGCGTGAATGTTTTAAGTCCGATAAAGCAACTACCACCAAACCGTTGCATGTGTAGCCGGTGTTTCGAATCGATGCGTTCATTGGAATTAAACCATTGCAACCTTTCTAGTGAGTATTTAATGGTCAATGCATTATCTACAGTAAAATAAATTTTTCCTTTGAGAATGGAGAGATAAGACAGAGGACTTTGTGAAATATTTCAGTTTCGATTATAAACATACTTTTTCTTTTACATTCTAATACTCTATTATTTTTTGTGACTTTTTTTTCCTCGATTTGGAAACGATCAAGAGCTGTTTGATATACTTCTGCATTTACAAGTGTACGCTTGTGGAAAAGTGATAGTTGAATCATGGAAGATAAGACGTCATAATCTACTGCACCGGGTTTTGTACTCAAAGGGGCAGAAATATATTCTTAAAGGCAGTGATAACATGCCTCTACTGATAAGTTTTCTTACCTTGTTTATTTTATGTTTTCTTACCTTGTTTATTTTCTATTTTTACTTGAAATTTTCACAACAATATATTGTTTTGTGAGAATGAAAGAAAGATATAAATAGGATAGCAAAATAATCTTTTGCTTTTCCGTTGACGGAATTAGGATTTTCATTATAGTCTAAAAGTAGAAGGGGTTTATGTGGAAGTATTTAAAATTCATAGGCAAGTAATGCCTAATAGGGTAATACCTCTATCCTAAATATAACTAGGTACTCCACCACAACTCTAAGAGCAATGTTATTGGGGCCTAATTTACTGACCGAATTCACTATGACCTTTGAATTGACTGTGAGCTCCATTAAATATTGGAACTTGGTATTGATCTAATGGTTCTACTGAAACCATATCATTATGTCATCAAATTAAGTCAAATTTTTAGGTTTAAATAGTATTACTCCAACTCTAAAGTTAGGTCTTCTCTTCTTCTTTTTTTTCCCTTAATCCAAGATTAGCTTACAGAGGTATAAAGCCTACTAAAACTTCTCCAAATCCCAGAGAGAACCTATTAGTAAACTACAAGACCATATGGAAAAGAAAAAGAAGAAAATGGTCTCCCCTAGGTGGCTCCCACGAGGTACCGACTTCAAACTCAAACAAAGATTGTTCTTATCCAATGCATGAGTCAAAGAAAATGTTATATATATATAATGCAAGACCCGTTGATAAGCTAAGACTACGACATGAAGGCAGGCTTAAAAAAAATTTATCCATCAAACTATGCTATCTATTCCATTAAATTTTCTCTCGAACAAATAAAGCATGAAAAAAAAATTATTTTGCCCAAAAAGAGGTAGCTTGGAAAGATTGAGGGAGAGAATATGCTTACTGTCGCATAAAATGCACCTCCACCATAGTTCGGTTGAGCTGACCCTCTCCCTCGTGCTCCTTGATCTTGACAACAAAAGCATACAACAATGCAAAAATGTATAAACAAAGGTGCAAAAAAGGCTAAGTAAGAACATATAGCCACTTGATCTTTCTCACGAGAAATCATTTAAGTAAAAAAGTACAGAACTTATGAATGTACTAAGTAATTATCCCTGCACATTTGCTAAAAGCAATTCACTATGTACTTTAACCCTCTATCATAAAACCTGATCCTTCAAACTGGCAGCTGATACTATATATGTTGTCAAACCCAGTAAATTCAGTCCTATTACAAGTCCATTTTAAATCCCATACTTAAGAATTTAATCCACTGTGTTTCCAGGCAAAAAATCAATCCATAACATGTGCAGTGGACATCAAACACATTCACTGCATGCTTTTATCTACTTACGGTATGTATGAAATTTCCTATATAGTTTTTAGCCTCGCGCTGAAATTGTAACATAAGGATAAGTAACAACTGAGACACAGAAAGAGAGATCATTATCCAAAGGCAGAACTTGAAGCAACCAAAAAACTTCTTTTGACTTGTTTCGAAATCACTTGCAGAACTTCCCAGTTCCCATTTCACATAATCTTTTGTTGAGTAGCTTCAAATATTTCCAACAAATTAAAAACATATTTAAATTTAAAACATGTGATATTGTTTCACTTGTAGTCTCCAAGAGCTGGCTTAATGATCCATTTTGCATAACTGACCTGAAGCCAAAACAACAGAAAGCAAAAGTTGGGGACTGTATTTTTGTTTTCTTTCCCGTTTTGACAGTGTGAGCACTTCACAATGCAAACAAACAATAGACTCTATATATAATATTAATCAATTAGTATAATGTTAGCCTGTTAAAGTTTAAATCACAGAGAACACTCAGAAACTTGGGAAACTAAGGAAAACAAGGAACCCCCATGCACGTAAACCAAACTAAGAACTTCAATATAAACCAATAATCAAATATAGAGGACAGATCTCAATATTCAGGCAACAAAATATGAAAAATCAACCAGAAAAAAAATCATTCCAACAATCACGTTGTTACAAAAATCCCATTCAACAAATCCGTAAACCAATAAAAATTACAAGCCCCAATAGCTAAACATTGCATTGGAGTTAAAAATCAAAACCCCAATAACTAAACATTGTATTGAATTTACGCATATAAATTATTCAGCTACTGAAAAAAAAGAATATGCATATATACAAACATCAATGTATATCAGGTATTACCGCAAATGGGTTCACTTCTTCTTCGCCGAAAGAATTTGAATCGTGATGGCCAGCCATGAAATACAATTATAAAGTCCCAATCTACGGAAACAACCTGAAAAAAAAGAGTTACATAAAAATAACATATCTGAGAATGGGGGCGAATGGATTTGAATGCAGATATTCAAAAGATTTGGGTTCTGATCTTTGTGGGTGTGGCAAGAACGGAATGCATGCTGAAAACGTACGGTTTTTTCTGTGAAACAGACGTTGCTTTTTCTGCTTGTTGGGTGAATTGCACTTCGTACCTTGAAAGATTTTAAATTTCTTACATTATACCCTTAAATATTAAATTTTTCATATTATACTGTTAATTTATTAAAAATATTACAATATGATTCTTTTGTTAGTTTTTTTTTTTAGTATCAATAAGTTGACTTTTAACAGAAAAAATAACGGAAACTAATAGAAAGGTGATATTGTAATAATTTTAATACATTAAAGGTACAATAAAAAAAATCTAATCTTTAAAAGTATAAAATTAAAAATTAAAAATGTTTATGATACAAAATGTAAAAAACCCTTATTTGTTTCCCGGGAAAGTTGAAAACAACAGGAAAAAGTAACCAACGCTTTGCTGGAAGGAAAAAAAAACAAAGGGTAAATTACACGGACACTCCTTGACCTTTTGATTTATTACACGGACACCCCTTGACATTGACAAATGACACTTAGACGAGGTTAACTCTCCTAATAAAAAGACAAATTTGCCCTCTGTTTAACACAAACCCAAACCCCAATCCCTCTCTGACTCTCTCTTTCTCTCTCTCTCCCACCAGCGAACCCAAACCCAAACCCCAATCCCAATCCCAATTCCCCCCCCCCTCTCTCTCTCTCTCTCTCTCTCTCCACCGTCAATAATCATCAGTCTTCTCTCTCTCCCTCAGCCCATCTCTGTGTGCGTATATATGTATATACATACATATATATATACACACACAAGCAGAGTGAGAGAGAGAAATGAGGTGGATAATGGAAATGGAGATGGAGGAGAAGAATGTGGTTGTTGGGTTCGATTTTACTAGTGGTTCGATTTTGGTTGTTGGTTTTGTGTGTGTGGTGTGGTTGAGGAGTTGGAAATGGAGGTGGAGGAGAAGAATGTGGTGGAGTTGCTCGATGGTTGTGTGTGTGTTTTTTCGTTGTGGAAGAGAAAATGAAGGTGGTGGTGGTGGTGGTGGTGTAATGTTCTTTGTATCTGCTCTCTCTTCCTCTGTCTATGTTCTCCCTTTTCCTCTGTCTCTGTTCTCTCTCTCTCTCTCTGCTGGTGGTGTTTGGATGTGTTGGGCGGTTGATGCACTATTGCGGTGGTTAAGTTTAGGCAATGGTGATGGCGGGCAACTAGTGGTGATGGCGGAACTGGAGGTGATGGTGGCGGAGCTGGAGGTGATGGTGGCGGAACTGGCGGTGGTGACGGTGGCAAGAGTAAAATTTTATGGAATTAGATAAATAATAAACAAAAATAAATTTAATATGAGATAATTGGATTAGGTAATTATTAAGGTTTAAAAAAATTATTTTTTAATTTGTACTAATAGTACCGAATATTATTTAATAAAAAAAAAAATTAATATTTTATTTATTAATGTAATATATTTAGAAATTAATCATATAAGTATTAAATTTCAATATATATATTTCATATATAGATTAAAAAAAATAAATGAGGGGGTGGATCCATTTGAAGGGTATTTTTGGTATTTTGAGAATTATGATTATAACCTCAGTTTTGACCGTTAACAAGTTTAACGTCCGTTAGTTAAATGGGGCGTGACTGTAACAAGGTTTAAATGTGAAGGAGTCTGAGTGTCATTTGTGAAATATCAGGAGATATTCGTGTAATAAACCAAAAGGTCAGGA